CCATTTTCACCCCACAGAGCCCTAAACTGAGCAACCCTCGTGTTCTTCTTGTTTTGCTTTCAGTTGCTTTTTAACAGATGGATGGTTAGCAGAGTTAAAGGGGGCTCTGTGAATGTCTTTTTGGGCCACATGTCCTCGGGTGGTTTGTTGGGAGGCTTTATAAGGGTGGGATGAGGCAAATAAGCAAGATTTGACCACAGTTCATTTTTTAGCCAGCCCACAGGCTTATTTGGGTTCATTAAAATTTTGGCCCATTGCATCTCTTTGCAGGCCAATGGTGCAAATAAAAGGCAAACTGCACTCTCAGGGTGTTGGATGTCGGTTTGTCCCTCTTGTACAAGCAAACAACACTCTCTTCCTGTGTTCTCTCAGGTGCTATTCGCTTTACAGCCCAAATAAAAATGTACTGCATAAGGATTACTCTGGTTGCTGGTGGGATGAGGGTGGGTCAAGAGAGTATTTGAGTCACAGCTGTGCTTTACAAAAGTATGTAGAGGCTATGATTTTGGTTTGACGCTGTATTTCAAATATGTTTAACATTTAGCAATCAGCATTTAGCTCAGGATTCATATAGAGGCACAGTGTTGCTTATCTTTTTTTTGCAGCAAAATAGAGTCGAACAAGCTTAAAATAATAAATAATTCGTCGTAAATTATAAACTAATCTTTACAATAACCAATTAAGTGTATTTTTCTGCAGACAAAAAGGCAGAGGTTAACATAAAAACAACAAACAACGCAAAGAGAAACTTTACTTTCCAATTTTTCATTATGATAAGGCTTTATCATTAGTGTTGTCAGGGCTGCAGCTGTAGCCTACACATCATTTTGTTCCTGGGAATGTGGGGGTTTTAATAAACTCCAGAGGAGTTTCCATTCTACAGTTAAATAGATGGATTAAACAGAGGGATTTATTATTTCTCTGCCAGAATTATATTCCTGGGACTGTGATAAAAGCTTTGAAACTGCCTTTGAACTGTCAAGTTGGAAGAAACAATTCCGAGAAAACAGAAGCGATTGGATAAATGAAAAAAAATATAAGGATGAATGTAAAAAAAAAAGACAGAAACAGTCTTGTTTTGGTGTATAATGAATATACAATAATTGGTGTCACTTTTTAAGAAGACAGCCATTATAAAGGCTTTAAAATAAACAGAGGCTCTATTAATGGTTAATAAATCATTTATACATCAATCAGCTATTAAATTGGCAATTTGTGAAAAATCCTGTTGACTGATGCTTTTCCTTTGTATTCGGTAATTAAGCTATGTGATTATAAATGTTGGCAATACATTAATGGCAACTTATTATTAATGAATTGGTCTGGAGCCTCTGCAGCCCTTCTCTGGAACGTATAGTCATGCTTAAAGTCAAAGGGATATTTCACTGCCTGACAACTAGGGCTGCAAGTTATAGCTATTTTAATTAGTAATTAATTTTGTCTGTAAAATGCCACTGCAATTTCCTAGAGACAAGGTGTCATTATTGCATGTTTTGCCCAAGCAACAGTTCAGAATCAGAAGATATTCAGTTTTCTATAATGTAGGACTGACAAATCCTCACAAATGACAGGCAGGGGTGAGAAAAACCTTTGACTTCAACATAGTCTGAACAGTATTCCCATTATCTGTCTGTAGCTTGATTTCTTTTTTTACCTTGTTGACATTTCTCCATGGTGTTTTTGTTACACTAGTAGACACATTATGCACAGCGTACTGACGACCGTCTCAAATACACGGATTCCAGGCTTTCATACATAAAAGACATAGAGAATCGATTCAGTGAACTTGCCGGGTGGAACATTCTGCTTCTGCATTCTTCTTCAGAACTGGTTTCCCGTTTGAACATTTCTGGCTAAATTTTCTCCAATATACCAACTTGCCATTGTGCAGTTTTACAGTGTTTGGACAGAGCCGTAGGTGAGCTGGTGTGCTCGAGCTGCAGCAAATACAGGAAGAGTGGATGGAGAGAGAGAGAGACGGGGGCTGCCATTTTAAGGCACGGAGGGTATTATTTTTCATAAAAAGTAAACTTTTAAATATTTAATGTTGATACACAAAGATGAGTTTTTCGGAGTTTAATCAAATTGTTTCATATCTACTGGCAAACAAATGTAGTTCTTATGAATGGCTTTAGGCAATACTGAATAAATCTGAAAAAAAGATTAAACACAAAAATATAAATGCAGCATGTAATATTCTATTGAATTCTACCCATTCTTCTTTACATAGGGGAAGTATTGTTGTCGCAGCATATGACATCTCTACAACAGAATGGACGACACGAAACAACCAAAATCATGCTATGCTGGAAATGGTAAAGGGATGCTGAATGTTTCCACCTATCTATGGTGTAGTGCTCCATATCTTCATCATATTGAACTGATGAGGTTGTTGTTGCTGCCTGTAGAAAGTTATTCCACTATTCTTGGGAGACAGGTTATCAGACATGATTTCTTAGACAACAAATAATGGAGTTATGGACATCCAGGTGCCTAGCTACGGATCAAACTGACATGCTAACATGACAACAGTCCATTTTTGTCTTTCTCTTGTCACATGTGGCATTGTGTCATTTGGTTTACTGCAATTTAAGATGACCTTCTATAGTGCTTGGTCAAAGGAGTGTTGATCTGTGTTTCTGATCAATGTCCTTAAACATCACATCTGACTAGGGCAGGGGTGGGCAATCCTGGTCCTCGAGGGCCACAATCCAGCATGTTATAGATGTTTCCCTCTTCCAAAACACCTGATTCAAATGATCAGGATCGTTATCAGGATTCTGCAGAACTTGATGATGAGCTGATCATTTGAATCAGGCGTGTGTAACCCATAATCTCATAATATGATCTACTTGTCCAGTGTGGAATATTCAGAATCAGTGGCACTATGGAAAGTAACAGTGAAAAATGCAGGCTTATATTTTTAATACTTCCTAAGATATTGTCACACATAGCCTCTAATTCCAACATGCATAAAAATGTGCTGAAAATGGGTCAGTGGGCAATTAGAAAAAAAGTAGGGTAAACTGGAGTAGGATTCCATCTCCCCCAAGGTAAGAAGCCTTCACCCGTATAGTTCGCCTTATGACCATCCCAGATATAGTAATTTTCCATTTCAGGTCTTTTCTTGGGTAATAGTGACTTTATGCCTTTTTAAATCATATTGAAATAATTTACTGGTCTGAGAAAATCAAAAGAAGATATCATCATTTTTCATTTCAGGTCTTTTCTTGGACCATAGTGAATTTACTCCTCTCTAAAACATGTTGAAATCATTTTACTGGTCTGAGGAAATTGAAAGAAGCATTTCTGAGTTTGGGTGATGCAATATTCTGGCACTACAAAATGGGCCTTTGTGAATATTTGTACTGCATACAGACTTTTCTTTTCTGTCAGAAATAGAGTCATGTAGGGTTTTCTATTAGTTTGAAGAAGGAATAATAATAACCTTTTTCTGCAATATTTGGAAATGTAAGAGTAGGACTTTTGACAGAACAAACTCCCGTAGACATCAATGATTATTTATACTCTAGCATTGTTAATGTTAGATTTCTGATAAATTATAAACACTATCATCTAATACAGTAACATAGTAGCTAACCACCAGAAAAAAAAAAGCATTATTATCTGTCTAAAATACAAACTAGCTGACTTCACGTTAAGCTAATAACCTTATGCTATATTAGCGAGCTGTGGCACTAGCTAGCTAGCTTGAATCCTTTGCTATGTCGGCTAAGCATGCCGGTTGATTTGGCATTATTTTGAAAGCATGAATTTAAAGATATAAAGTTTAGCTTTTGTCCCAGGCCCCTGCATTGTAAATTAATTAGCAATAATCAAGCAGTCTAAAAGAATCTAGACTAATTTCTACATGTGTTAGCTAACATTAATGTTGCATTTAAAGTCAAAGCAAATTAATATTTGAGAAGTTTATATTCTTCAAAGGGGCGTGTGAGATTAAATAACCCCTGAGGATTTTACATTTAGTTTTATAATGACACAGCTGGAGTACACTTAACCACACATATTGTGTAGCATTACATTGATACTTGAAAAATATATATTTAAAAAGAAAATACACATTGTTCTTTAGTAGGGGCGTCTTTTCCGGAAAGTATTTGATGTATCCAGCTAAAATTTCCCCCAAATTTCTATAAATATACATATTTAATGCGATACAAGGGCCAGCAAATCAGAGATAGTGGAGCAGAAACTGCTTGTAAAAAAATATAATTTAAGTAAAGTTAGAACTTTTGTCCTATAGGCCTATCAACTGGTAATAAATTGTCAATAGTCAAACTGTCAGAGCCACATAAAATTTTGAGAATATAGTTCATCTTATGCATAAGTAACAAGTTTGTATTCCTTAAAGTGACTCGTAAATTGACCTCTGGGGGCTTCTGAAATCTTAAAAAAAAATCTTTTTCTTTCTTTCACATTTAAATTTGTATGTATAATTTAACTGCCGTCTAAATTTGTTCACTAAAACATATTATATAGATATTGAATCTCTCTCCCTCTCTTTAGATATATACATACAACAGGCATTGTTCTTTGAGGGGTGTCTTTCCTAGAAAGTATTTGATATATCAAGCTAAAATCTTTTCTAATATCACTATAAATGTCAACATTTTATGTTATAAAAATGTCAAGCAAATCAGGGAAGGTCAACAGACATTGTTCTACAAATTGTGGCATTCACAACATAAATATTGACACAAAAACATCATTTTAAATATTTTTGCACATTTTCAACACTTTTTTTTCTCGATTAGATGCATTTTAAAGCAACATGGTGCTTTTTTTCTGTTTTCTTTTTTTCTTCTGCACTATTATGATTATTAAGGGGGGTTTCCCCATGACACTGCTTCCCTTTGAGACCCCCGCACTATTTTACAGGAGGTCCCTTACACCGCCTGTGCGGAGTGATCCACGTGTGTGCGCAGGCTCCGCTTGTCAGTCAGACTTTGAACTGTGCACTGGCGCTCATCACTGCTAATCTCTGACCGCCCGCTTGTCATCAACGACACCGCCGCTGACACTCATCACCGAGCAGCTCAGATATATAGATTAGGATGAACAGTTGCTGAGAGAAGCACGGAACCCGAAAAAGGGCGACACCGAAGAGGGACCGAGCCGGAGGTTTAAAAAAAAAAGAAAAAACGTTAGCTGCGCCGTTTAACGTTCACGTTACTCGGGGAGTTGCGATGGTCCAGTCAACGGATATTTTCTTAGCCTTGCTTCTTGTGGGCTGTGCAGGTAGGAGAAAAAATGTCACATTTAACTCTTATAAACTGAGCTTGTGTTGTGTTTTGAATGAATTTCATCCGTTTCCACCCCCTTTTTTTGTGAAATAAAATTGTGTTCAGGAGGTGGGGGACCGCAGGCATCCTCTCGCCTCCTCCGCCCGCAGGTGCGACGGTAACAGTACTGCGCCTGCTGCTAATTAGCTTACTGGCGAGCTGCTTTTTAACTAAGGACAGCTTGGTGCTAATGTGTTGGGGGCACTATTTTCTCTGGACACACACACACACTCAACGGGCTACATAACGTTGCTCTTTGCGTGACCAGCCTGCACGCTGACTTCGCATTATTGCACATTAAATAAAATATGATGCTCGAGATGAAACACGCTTTAAAAATTGCATTAATGTGATGTGCACGCTTGTATACGATTGGAATTGTTTCGTGAGGATCAGGGTGTTTTTTTTTTATTTTTTTCTCTCCTGCTTTTGTGCTCGTGTTGATGTGGGCCGTTGGTCTGTGCTCGGATGGGACGTGTTTGTTGTTGATGGGGGGTGATGCTGGACTCCCTGTGTTTGTAGACAGCCTTCTGCGTTGACTCACGCTTTCTTAAAGGTGTATCGTGCAGAATTAAACGCATTTCTGTTTTTGTTTTTTGCTTTTTTTGCGTTGCACCTGTGCATGTGTACAGGTGCGAGGAGGATGGCGCTGACACGAAGTGCACGAAGGGTGCATCAGCAGGGACGCTGCTGGTTTTATTCGCTCTCTCTGGCACACTGATGCACAGCAAAGCACAACTTCTACTCTGAATCATCTGTTATGTAATCCGATTCCACGATAAAGGCTTTGAAATGAGATCCTCTAAGTTGGTAAAATGTGTCGTTACGTAAGTCTAATTGAGGGAGTTTTGTGTGAAATTACATTTTAATAACATTTGCACGCCCATTTTTTGATTAATTTGACATGTGAGGTGCTTATGTTGCAAGTAGTACTCTCAGCTACACTCAGGCTCAGGATTTTCGTGGGATAGCCTTTTAATCCTTTATGTACAATCCGATATGTGCAGGGGTGTTCCTCGGGCAGGAGGGGAAAACGCAGAGGGAGTGGAGCCCTCACTGCATTGTAATGGTAATGCAATCGCTCTTGCGTTTATTGGAAAATATTATGTTAAAATATACATGTGCAAGACCTCAATTATTGGATGAGGTCTCCTCTAGTGCCATGCTTTAATGTAAGTACATTGAAATAGGTCTGACACTTGTGCTTATATTGTAGTGCATCTACCATCAAGTACACTTACACAGCATATTATATTATGTGCTACTTGTGATTAAATTGAAAAAACCTGTTAATTTATTGCATTAAGCATGAGATGAGAAGAAAAAATTGACAAGCGTCAGCCTCTGAGCAAGAATGTCTTTTTTTAACTTTTAGAGTTGCTAATTATGTCCCAAGCTGTGAGAAATATGTAGTCGAGTTATAGACTAGATTTTCTCCAAATGATGTGTACGAGGGCTGCAACTAATAATCGTTAGTTGTTTGGTCTAAAAAATATGCTTAAAAATTGTGAAAATTGTTCATCAGTGTTTGCCAAAGCTTTAAGATGTCATCCTCAAGTGTCTTATTTTGTCAACAACCCAAAGATATTCAGTGTACTGTCACAGATGAGAAAAGAAACCAGAAAATATTCACAATTAATAAGCTGGAATCAGAGAATTTTGCCTTATTTTCTCGAAGAAATTACTCAAACCAACTATCTCGTCTGAATACCAAATAGTTGGTAATTAATATATATAAAATATAGCCTGACTGAGGACAATGGATTTATTTGCAGTATGTATATCTGGGAGTATCAACATTTTTTAAAAGCATCCCTAAAATGTATTGAATGATTTATATAAGGAATTGTGACCGTTTATCTACTGGATAGGATATTTTGTTGTTGAAAAAGTAGCTTGTCGGACTTGCAAACGCTACATAATGGTGCCACCATTTCTAAACACCCTAGGATCTATTTATGATATTTTTACGATTTCTTGCTGCTTTTTTGCGGTATCTGTATTCAGCTATCTTTGGTGAATATACAGACTTAGCTTGATCTATTTTCGAGCATAATTGTGAAAGAGAGTGCATGGTTTTGGATTTGTTTTTTTGTTGAAATCCGCCATGATAACCTGGTAAGCATCATCTTAAAGACACAGTTATGCACAGTAGTGAGCAATGTGAAGTTGACACACTTATACGAAATATGGACATAAAAGAGATGGACTGCGCGGTTTTCAGTTCTCATTTCACAGTTTATCGCACTGCCAGTTCACGTCCATATTAAATGTATTTGTGTTTTTGAGTGCACATCATCCCTATTCAGATGTTGCTGGAGGTAGACAACCTTATGACTAATGCACTGATTGCTTTGTCACATAACTCCTGTCGTCGCTGAAGCTAAAATTACAATTTTTTTTGTATTCCTTTTGTTGAACTGACATTTGTAGCGTTTATATCGCGCTACACAGATGTCAGAAATAGTAGTTTAAAATGGCACTATGAAACCTTGAGTAATTCAATGTAAATCAAAAAAAAATCATTTTCATAGATGATTATATGGCATCGCTGTAGCAATATTAACTGAGACTGAGGAAGGATTAACCCTCTATCTCGTTACTTTACATCCCTGATGGATGAATGCTCAATGGGCCTTTTGAGCTTCTTGACATAATTATTAATTGATCCTCTTTGAACTGATAACTGGAATAAGGAGACAGTTTGAAAATGAAGCATAGCATGCAGAAAGTGAGAGAAATGAAGCAAATCTGGCAAAGATAAGAGATGATGTTCTAAACCTGTGAGACTGATGAATGAAATGCAACTCAGCATCTCACCATATGGCTCTCATGAGCAGGAAATGTGGCTCTCTGCTTTACAGTAGGATTGTTTGACTGAGCCCGCGTTACATCATCAGTCAGGTCATGTGGAAATTATGACGTAGCTCCATGTTGCACCATTTACAAAGCAAGATGGAAGCATGGCTGACTGCAGGCAGACTCACAAGAGCTCCAGACTTCTTTACGTCTGACTTAGCTTCACGAGGATGGAAATCAACACTGCCAAAAGCAATGGCGGCGAGTCCAACAGCTTCAACTTGATTATGTAAAAGTAGTGTGTGCACATTGTGTGCTGGCAGTACTGTTTCCCATATTGAGAATTTATTTGGGAGATCTCTACCAAAATAGATTTTTCTTTTTCCCAAAAGACATGTCTTTTGAAATAATATTGATTTCTCTTCAGTCACGACACGACTATAGAAAAAAACATTTTACAGAATTAGACAACCCAATTAAGTGCAGAGACCTTTACGATTTGTCGCTAATGAGACCCATAATATCCCAGCTCAACATCGTCGTACCTTGCAGAGGTCATTGTGCTACTAAGTAATCTATTATTTTGTGTGATTAACTGGTTGATCATTTTGTTTTTAAAATGCGTGTCTTTAATTTGCTTCTGTTTTCAGCTAATATCAGCACCCAAAGGAGTTCCATTACCAATGATATAAAACAGAGAAAAGCATCAAACGCTCATATCTGACAAGCTGGAACAACCAAATATTTGGCATTTTTGCTGGATAATTGACTATTAATTATTAAATGATTGGCAGTGTATCATTTAAATATTTTATTTCTTTAATCTAAGCCAGCGGTGCACAGTGAACAGCTAAATTCCATTCTAGTGTATTCATTTTGTCATAGCTTTGTATGGAAAAAAACCTTCAAGATACAGTGTTTATATATATATATTAATTTAATCTTTTGTGGTGATATATTCTTGTGGCTTGGTATAGCACAGCGCTGCAACAGTGTTGTATTTAACCACTTGTGTAAAACAACATACTTCAGCATCCTATTAAAACCACCACAGATTGAGAGTGTGTTTATGTGCGAACCGGGAGTGAACACCTATAAACCAGAGCTGTAACAGGGATGCTACTGTAATGTGCATCTCGGGGCTTTGCTTAAACAAACTGGTCTTTGATGTCTAGTGTCAAACAGCACTCTGCAAAATTGTATTAAGACCTTTCATTTGGAAGAAATTTATTCAAGAAATCCAGCCAAAGTGGGTAAAGGCTCAGCCCATATCCTATCGTCTCCGATTGCTGTTATTTTTGTCTTGTCTTATCAAATAACTAAACCTGCCAACATCAGAGTGTCTACTGACAAGCTACTGCTAAGCTTTAGGGGATGTTTATTGAACCAAAATGTATTTCCGAATCTAACAGACGATCAAGACCACACAACTATTGCATCGGGAGACAATTTCTTGGCAACACTTGTCATATTGCAGACATACAAGTATTCTATCTATTCATAATTTGAAAATTTTAATTTGTTAAAACTGTTTCACTGTCAAAATACCAATCCTGAAAGTCAGTGAAATACCAGTTTTCTATAAATTAGATTGTAGACTCAGTGGCCCTAGTATCTCTTGCACATTATTTTAACAGTCTAACAGAATCAGAGCTTTTCTTCCAGAATTGGGAGGGAGAAGGAGGAGAGAGGCTGGGGTTTTGTTCTAGCCAGGACTACTTGACTCTTTAGTGATGGGGAGCGGATCAGACAGATCCAGGTCTGAGAGAGTTGAGAGGAGATTCATTGCCTAAGGACGCTAAAAAGATGACATTACACGTGCACGTGACCCCGTGAAGCACAGTAGGAGGAACATAAACATCATCTCCTAAGGGTTTGCTCACAGAAGAGGCACAGGCGGTGGGCTTAGTGGTTGTTTTTTCAGCGATTAGCTTCTGCAGTGGTAGCATCCTTATGCTATTCCTCTGAGGTTTGAGTTTTTATATTGCAGATTAAAATTAATCAGGCTTAATTTAAGAGTATGAAACAGGTTAAACACAGCACTGAACAGCGCGGCCTAGAAGATTAGCTTGGTCTGTGTCTCATTTCTATTATATGCGAGTACCAAAAACGTGCTTTAGATATTGCTTTTCTAGTCAAGGATTGCAATCCTAACTT